TTGAATAATGTACAGGAAAAATTCAGGTGGAGAAGAGGTGACTTCTGTCTGGCAGCTCACAGAAATCTTTAGAACGGTGGTGACCTGGGAATCAAGTTTGGAAGGATGGGTAGCATGAGCTCAGCACATGCGAAGGTGTGGAGGTGACATAGCCGTGCCAGAGCCATTCAGCTGGGTAGGCAAATCCGTCAAAGCCACGCACACTTTGGCACAAAAAATCGCGGATCATGAGACTCCCTGTGCTGCCTCCCCCAGTGGAACCTGCACTTCAATAACGGGGAATAGGAGCTGTGAGTTAATGTAATGTGTCTTTGATGGTGGAATTTCAGACGTGAGCAGAGTGTGGGGAGGAGTTCAGGGCGGGGGTGGCCGGGCATGTCTGGGGGAGGGCAGCTATCCTGCAGAAATCAACCCATAGCCACACCTCATTAGTTCCTGACGCTGGCCCAGCAGCTAAGCCCCATCGCCAGAGACCTTGCTAATTACTTGCAGGATGTCCCCATCTGAACTGAAGCTTTGAATGGAGCATCTTGAATATGTCCTTTTGCCCTCACTCTTTGAGTGACCTTGAACCCTCAGCCAGATTACAGCTGTCTTTGTTCTGCCACCCCTGTGAGGGCTGAGGTCTGATCCAGTCATCCTTCCCGGTGTTGGAGAGGAGGGGGCTCTGAGATTTCTGATGTGCCCTCCCAAGTCAGGGATGCAAGGATGGGAGGAATGACGTTGGTGACAAGCTGGGGAACAGAGTGCTGGGGACAGCTCCAAACACACCGTAACCATAGCAACCACCATCTATGGAGGGCTTCCCAGGAGCTACGCACTGGATTGTGTGGCCTATTCCTCCTGTCGTGTCTATTTTACAGATGAAGAGACTGAGGAATAGAGAGGTTAAGGAAATTGCTGAGATCAGCAGCTAGGAAGTGGTAGAGCTGGATGTGACCCTGGCTCTGTGGCTTCTAGGTCCACAGTTGGTTGGACGTGGGCAACAGGAAAGAGGCAGGGTTTGGTGGAAAGAGGGCAAACAGCTCATCGCGTCTGAGGCTCAGGAATAGTTCTCAGAGGCCCTCACACTAGGAGTCACACAAGCTACTGCTTGAATTCTGGCCATTCCTTGCATCGGTCACCCAACTTCTCTGTGCCTCAGTTTACTCATTTGTAAAATGGGGATAACAACGCCCACCTCCCAGAGTTGCTGTGAGGATTAAGTGAGATTATGTATTTGAAGTGTCTGGCAAAGAGCAGGTGCTACATAAATAGTTGTCATTAGTATTGCCAGTATTGATGTAACTGTGGGGACAAAAGGAAATCCATGCGGGGCAGAGGAGAGACTGCGTTTGCACATCAGGAGGGGCTCAGCAGCATCTCCTTCCTGGAGCTGTCTGGGGAGCACTCCGGCCTTTGCTGCCCATCACGCCATACCAGGCAGTGTGCCAGAGCTCAGGTGCTCTGCTGGGCTGGGGAGACCCACCTGGGACCCTGAGGGAGGTAACTGGTGAAACCAGGGAGCAGGGAGCCCCTTGGAGAGCTGGGGTGAGGAGCCGCCTTGCCATTGTGGGCCTCCTGGTTCCTCAACCCCCTGAGCCAGCCAGCCTGGCTCTGTGGATATGGCTGTGTGGCTCTGCACAAGTCGCTCCTCTTTGTGGGCCTCCGTGAATGCATTTGTGCTCTCTCTCTCTCTCTCTTTCTCTTCCCCCCTCCCTCCTTTTTTGGGAATGGGCTCTGCTCTTTCTTTTCTTTCCTTTTCTATTTTTTTGGAGACACAGTTTTGCTCTGTTGTCCAGGCTGGAGTGCAGTGGCGTGTTCTCGGCTCACTGCAACTTCTGCTCCTGGGTTCAAGCAATTCTCCTGCCTCAGCCTCCTGAGTAACTGGGACTAAAGGCACGCGCCACCATGCCCAGCTAATTTTTGTATTTTTAGTATAGATGGTGTTTCACCATATTGGCCAGGCTGGTCTCGAATTCCCGACCTTGTGATCCACTCGCCTTGGCCTCCCAAAGTGTTGGGATTACAGGCGTGAGCCACCATGCCTAGCCTGCTTTTTCTTTTTCTTTTCTTTTCTTTCTTTCTTTCTCTCTCTTTCTTTCTTTGTCTTTCTTCCTTCCTTCCTTCCTTTCTTTCTTTTCTTTTTCTTTCTTTCTTTCCTTCCTTCTTTTTTTTTTTTTTTTTTGGCAAAGTCTCACTCTGTAGTACAGTGGTGTGAACTTGGCTCACGGCATCCTCCACCTCCCAGGTTCAAGCAATTCTCCTGCCTCAGCCTCCTGAGTAGCTGAGATTATAGGCGTGAGCCACCTCACCTGGTCAGCCTCTGCTTTTTCATCTGTATAATGGGCTTTGTCTCCCTTAGGGCTCCTCCTGTGGGTTCTGCTCCTGGACCAGGGCTCAGCCTCAAGTTTAGCTTGAGGGTGCCTAGGCCTGCAGAAGGTTAAATCAAGGGCTGGGAGAAGGGGAGGAAAAAGGAGGCAGGAAGGCAACAAGAGGGGGAGGAGGAGGGCAGAGGAAGGGTCCCTGCCTCAGCTCCCTGCTCCAGCCATCCCATATAGGGCTTTGGGTCCCAAACACCAGAAAAGGGAGTGGGGACAGACTGGGCTTCTTCCCTGAGTCATGCTCCTGAGCTGCTCTCCCAGGATGGTGCGAGGCTGAGTTGTCTGCACTGAACCCTCCCTCGGTTTCCCTTCCGGTGATTGCAGAGCTGCAAGGGCAGCAGGGCTGGACTGGACATGCTGCTTAAGAGCACGGGAGGGGCCGCCTGAGCCTGGAGGGAGGCTCAGTGGGGACTTTTGCAGCCCTGCAGATGGGACAGGGTACTTAGCTCCCTGGCCTCAGTTTTCTCATCTTGGAAATGGGACAATAGTGATGATAATAAAGTTCGTATCACAGACCTGCTGTGAGGATTACATAAGGTAACAGACACAGGTGCCCAGAACTGTGCCCAGAGCATGATAGGCCTGTAATAAACCACAGGGATTTTATGATCACTCTAACCTGCTTCTAACAGGGTGGGACAGTGCTGTATGTGCCATATCCCATCCTGGTGGGCTCCGGGGCTTGCCAACTCTACCCACTCCAGCACATGCTCAGTATTGAGTCCGAGGGTACAGATGGGCCAGGCCTGAGCCACCTTCACCCCATGGGGACCCAGGCAGACATTGCCCAGCAGGCAGGATCACACAGGGATGAGCCCCATGGGCTGTGGAATCTGACGGCCTGGGTTCCACCCAGCAACTCCACAGGAGCTCTGTGGTCTGGGCTGCTCCATCAACTCACAACGCTAAGCCATCTGTAAAACGGGGCTGTGAATAATGACCCTACTATGTGCTGGGGTTGTTTTGAGGATTAAATGAGGCAAACCCAAGGAAAAGCCTCTGCCCATGGCCAGGTGCAGGGGAAGTCAGTAATGAGCCATTACCACCGATAAATCAGAACTTCTGGCTGACTCTTCTTTCCCTTTAGAAAAACTTGCTGCTTAAGACCTGGAATGTCTATAAATGTTACCATCCAAACTCCCAGATCTGGCTCCTCAGTTCCTCTACCCAAAATCAATACATGGAAAAAGGAGAACCTGCTTCTCCCCCAACAACTGAGCCAGGAGACAGCCACGGTGGGCAGGTAGCATGCCCTTCCATCGCACCCAGGGAGCTCTATCCCTTGGAATCTCCAGGATTTGGCCAAGGCCGACATCAAGCTCAATGCGGAGGAAGGGACGCTGGGGAAGGCACACTGCACTCTGATCCACCGCAGACCACAAAGTCTTAGGCCAGCTCTTCATGTTCAGGAATTGATCAGAAACGTTGCATATAAAGTGCCTGGAAAGCAGTGACAGTTGCTAAATGGTAGATGTTTGGTTTGGCCCCATGTCCAGCCCAGAAGCTTTCGTGTGCTTTTTCCTGCCCTGTGGGGTCTTCTTTCAGCCCCCTTTTCCAAGGCTTTTGCCCGTCACTTTTCATGGGAAACCTGACTTAGGCCAGTGCCGGCCCAAAGCCTGGGTTAGTGCTGGACACAGAGGGAGAGGAGATGGGCCCCTTCTTCCAGCTCACACTGCCCCCCTGGTCATAGGGCAAGTTGCAATTGGCCTTGAAGCTCACTGACATTCACAGATCATTTTCTCAGGTTCTTCTACAAAGGGTCATTTCTGCTGTTCCTGTGCTGAGGGGAGGGAACAGAAAAGGAACAATTCCTACCTTGGTTTTCTAGTATTTTAAACTCTTCTGCCCCCACCCCATAAGGTCATTCCTTCTGTGGTTGACTCTTTATAAAACCTGAGAGTTGATGGAATATTGATTGAAAACTGAGGGGCAGAGGAAGGGAGTGAATTGACCGAAGTCACCTGGTGTTGGTGTGGGTAGTGAGATCTGAGATCTTCTCCCTCCTGATTCTGTGCTAAACTTGTTCAGAAAGAAAACCAAGCTCCAGTCTCTCATGAGAAAAAAAGGTGGAGCTCTAGAAACTTCTAGGGAACCGGAAAGATGGTCGAGGAAGCCCTGGTAGACAAAGGACTTGGTGCAAGCCAGCAATTCCTTAGGGAGACATGAGGAGGCTCTGGGCTGGGCTGGCAGCATCCCTGGGAAGAAGCTAAGGGTGGTGTGTGTGCATGCGTGCGTGTGTGTGTCTGTGTGTGCACGCATGTCCCATGAGTCACTGGAAGTCACCATGTGGCCCAGCATCCTGGACTGCCTTGGACATTATCCAGCCTGATCTCTTCAATGCCCATCAGGGCAGCTGGACCAGAACCTGGAAAGGACTGGATCTGGGCCCCAAATGTTATCTTTCTAGTCCAGGCCTCTTTTCATGGCATTGCATTGACCCTGAGTGTCCCCACTAGTGGTTTCTGCTGGTCCCATCCCCCTGCAAGCTGGATGCAGTCAGAGAGCTGACTTGCCTGGGTCAGAACTACAGGCCCTCTGCCTCTCTACCTCTCCCAGGGGTTCACAAAGAGGCCGTGGTGCTCAGGATGGGCTCTGTACTTTGTGCCCACGGTGTCAATACCCTCTGTCTGCCTGCAGGTCCCTGGCCCTGGGTCAGCAGTACACATCTCTGGGCTCACAGCCCCTGCTCTGCGGCTCCATCCCAGGCCTGGTCCCCAAGCAACTGCGCTTCTGCCGCAATTACATCGAGATTATGCCCAGCGTGGCCGAGGGTGTGAAGCTGGGCATCCAGGAGTGCCAGCACCAGTTCCGGGGCCGCCGCTGGAACTGCACCACCATAGATGACAGCCTGGCCATCTTTGGGCCCGTCCTTGACAAAGGTACTGCCTCCCGGCTGAGGGGGAAGGGGGCTCAGGACTCGGTGTGGGGAGGGATTAGGACTGTACGCCCTTCCACCCCAGTCAGGGCGCCTCTTCTCTGAAGCCAGGATCCCTCTGGGAGGGTGATAAATTTGGTCACATGACTGCTACACATTTCCAGGTGTTGCTGGGGGCTGGGCCGCCTTGAGACGCCCTAGGATCCTGAGGTTTGAGGGCAGACACCCAGAAGGCCACAGCTTTCCTTCTTGGGTTTTGCACAGTGGGAGCCTCAGGCTCCCACTGTGGACATTTGTGACATTTGTTAAGTGCTATGCAAATACCACTTTGGGGTGGGGGTGAGAGCATTGCCACCCCTATGTCCCTCCCATCTAGAAAGTCCTCAGGAGCCGAGGAAGCTGCGTGGTACTGCGGTAGCATTTGGTTGCCACCACGACCCTTGCCTGAGGGGTTTCTGTTCATTCCCATACCCTGCCAGCTGGATATGCCCAGGAATCATGGTGGGGCTAGAGGGTCCACTGGTCTCTGGGTAACTTTCCCACCGTCTTGCAGCCTGGGAGTTTAACTGGCTGTGCCTCGAGTAGACAGGGAGCCACAAGATTTGACTTTGAACCTGGAGGCCCTGGGAGGGAGGCTAAGTGGGACAACTGCTCCCAAGAAGGGGACCTGGGGGCTCATGGACTGGATGGAAGATGGACAGCTCTTCCTGGAACGGCAGTGTCCAGGAATCTAATGATCCTGGCTGGGCTGACCACCGGCAGAGCTGCTCTGCCACCCAAAGCGCTGAGCCTGGTCCTCCCTCCTATTAGAAGCTAGGGAATGAATGGGAGCTGGCTGTATGGCCAGAAAGAAAAGGGATCTGACATTCAGGTGAAAGAGTGGGGGGCTGGGCGGGGTGGGGAGAAGCTGACCACCCCCATTTTAGAGTGCAGATCCCCTTAAGGATACCTCAGGTGCACAGGTCCGTCCCTCTTACAGCCAAAATGTTGGCTATTGTCATGGGACAGGAGGGTAATTAGCAAATCAATGAATGACAATTCTGTTTACGCTTCTATTACCAAAACTAATTATTCCTTGTTGACATAAAAGGTTTGGCCTCTTAATTGGGGCCAAGTGGCGGCAGTTTGCATTTCAAACCCGATCTTGTCAGTGTGTTGGTCTCAGCGCTTTCCGGTGCCCCTCCTCGGGCCAGGTAGCGCTGAATCAAACAGCTTTGCGTCTAGACGCGCTCTCCAAAAGCGAGAGTCACCTCTGATCGCTCTTCCCGGCTCCGGCCTAGAGCCAGGGGGAAGCCGGCCTGGGTGCACTGCTCATTCACTCTGCGTTGAACTTTTTAAGTCGCTGCCGCAGGTTCTGGCACAGGTCCCGGTCCCTAGATGGCCCGAGGGCAGGTTTGTGTTGTGGGGGGAGGGGTGATGTGTGCCCGAGACTTTGGGAATTTGCCGGCGGAGGGGAGAGCATCCCGGAAGACGCCTCGCGCGCAAACGCGCCCGGGTCGGTGCCCAGAGCCAGGGCCGGGAACCCACGTTCACGCCCAGCTCCAGCCCCACGTTTGCACCCCGCCCCCAGCGAGTCCCCGCACCCCTGCCGAGTGGGCGGCCAAGGGTTAATCTCCGCCCCCTGCTTTGAGACCTGGGGCGCAGGGGGTCTGGCTGCCTGGAACCTGCGTCTTCTGCGCCAGCCGTGACAGATGCCTCGGGGCTGGGCCCGCCCGGAGGGGTGGCCGAGGGCAGGGGCCCGCGCCGCGAGTCTGGGGGACTCTGGGGTCGGCGGCCGGAAGGGGCGAGGTGCGGCGGCAGCGCGGCGGGCTGGAGGCGCTTCCCCGGGCGGGGTGGGGCAGGGGCGGGCGCCGGAGGCGCCGGGGCAGCCTGAGAAGCGCCCGAGCGCCGCCCCCCCACGGCGCGGCCCGGGGGCCCGCGCCCGCTGCGGTCGCCGCGCCATTCACACGCCCTCTGGCCATTCGGCACGGCGCGGGGGCGGGGGGCGCCGCTTCAATGGGGATTTCGCGGCCCGGTGCCTGGGCCGGGGGCGCGGCCCGGCCGCGGGAGCCGCCCGTTGCTACGCGGTGGCGGCCGGCCGGGCGGCCCGGGCCCGGCGGCCGCATTATGCGGGTAATGCGGTGTGACACCGCGCAAACAAAGGCGGATTGAGTGGCCCAGCGGGCCCCGCCGGACTGGGAAGGCACAGCGGGGCTGTCAGCGCTGCTCCCAGGCTAATCCCCGCCCCGCCCCCACCGCCCCCCGCGTTCCTGGGGCTGGGAACCCAGCGCGGCCGGGGCCCGGGCGCCGCCACTGCCGCGAGAGGCTGCGGGCTGGCCGGAAACGAGGGGCGCCCGCCTTGCGAGCGCGCCCTCAGCGCTTCTCCCCCAGGGCGTCCCGAGGACTGGCGCGGCCGGGATCGGGGCTAGCGAGCAGTGCGGCTGGGATCCCGCGGCAGGGCGCACCACCGGGAGGGGACCTTGGGCCCCGCGCCGCCGCCGTCCATGGTTGGCCCCGGCAGCGCAGGCGGGGGTGGAACGGGCTTCGCACTCCCAGCCAGCCGGGCGGTGGAAGTGGGACGGGCCCCTCGGCAGGTGGCGCAGGAGGGCGTGGGGGCCTCGGAGAGCGGCCGCGGTAGCCACGAGGGGTCCCGGGCTTCCTTCTTGCAGCACTTAGGCCACAGCCCAGGAGAGGAGGCGGGCGCCCTGGCTTCTAGGCCGGCCCGGCGTTTTGCAGCCTGGGCCAGGCAGCGAGTCACCTCCGGCTCCAGGGTCCTGCTGAGAGGAGAGAAGGCTGGGCTGCAGGTCTTGCAGGCCTTGGCCTCCTTAATCGTCCATGTCCACATCTATAAAATGAGTCAAACTTTCTATGTGAGTGAAGCACGTGCAGAGGTGGTGACCGGGGTGAGGAGGTTGGTGCACACCCAAGAGTCTCCCCTGTTCCTGCCTGGGACCCTGGGACAGAACCAGGGAACTGCCCTGTGTTGTGTTCCTTCCCTTCTGGGAGGGGCTTGGCTGTGTCTGGGCATGAGGGCAGGAGAATGAGAATGGGGAGACTGAGACAAGGGCCACGGCCATCCTGGTGAGGGGCTCTAGGGGCAGAGGGAAGCCGTGTCCATTTTACAAAAAGAGCAACTGAGACCGAGAAAAGGAGAGGGGCCACCCCGTTGTGCCCAGGCGTGGAAGGGATGGGCCTGGGCAGGTTTAGGCTGTGGGTTCCCAGGCCTCCTTCCTCACAGACCTGGAGCTCTCTCTGGAGTGGGAGGGCTCAGACCTCTGCAGGTCGTCTCTGGATTTTGGGAAGGTGGAGGGCAGGGGGTGTGGGACCAGGACAGAAGTGGCTGCCTTCTCTCTGCAGCAGTCTGCCAGAGCTTTGGTGTCTGGCCCTGTTTCTCACAGGCCCTGCTCTGCCCTGTGACATTTGAGGCCCTGGGCTAATGAGTTAGCAGCCCGGGGCCCCGGTTTGCTCATCTGTGAATTAGGGATACCCTGCAGGGCTAGAACAGTCAAAGCGGGTAGGGAAGCTGCCTCCCTCTTCCCTCAGGCCTGGTGAGCTCTTCAACTCTTGCCCGCCCGGTTCCCCTCATGTCCTGGCCTGGGAGGTGGAGGCAGGGGGGACGCTCTCAGGCCAGGTCCTGAACGCTGCCTCCCCACGGCCTCCCCGCAGCCACCCGCGAGTCGGCCTTTGTCCATGCCATCGCCTCGGCCGGAGTGGCCTTTGCGGTCACCCGCTCCTGCGCTGAGGGCACCTCCACCATCTGCGGCTGTGACTCGCATCATAAAGGGCCGCCTGGCGAAGGCTGGAAGTGGGGCGGCTGCAGCGAGGACGCTGACTTCGGGGTGCTAGTGTCCAGGGAGTTTGCGGATGCGCGTGAGAACAGGCCGGACGCGCGCTCGGCCATGAACAAGCACAACAATGAAGCGGGCCGCACGGTGAGCCTGCTTGTCCTCCCCCAACCTGCTGGGAGCCCTGCCGGGACCAATCTCGGGCCCTGGCCTCCTCCGCTCCCAAGCTGGCCTGGTCCCCACCCCACACCTTCCGACAGCCATGTGGGTCCTGGGCTCCTTTTCCCCTTGGCCAGGGTTGGGCCCCTCTCCACCCCACAGCCACTTCGTTTGTCCACCCTCCTTCCTTTCTGGATTCCACTCCCACCCGGGATGAGTTGGCCAGGGAGCATGTCCACCCTGTGTGATCAGGTACCACCCACTCATCCTGTGCACCTCAGCACGCACTGTAGGGCTGTCAAGGCCTGGGAACCTGGCATTGAATTCAGCCTCCATTCACTTACTTTGGTTGTGTGACTTAGGGTGAGTCATGTTAAGCTCCCAGCCTGTTTCCCCATATGTTAAACAGCGATAACGCCTTTTGTTTTTTTCTTTTGAGATGGCGTCTTGCTCTGTCGCCCAGGCTGGAGTGCAATGGCTCCATCTTGGCTCACTGCAACCTTTGCCTCCCGGGTTCAAGCAAGTCTCCGGCCTCAGCCTCCCAAGTAACTGGGATTACATGAGTCTGCCACCACACACAGCTGATTTTTGTATTTTCAGTAGAGACAGTGTTTCACCATGTTGGCCAGGCTGGTCTTGAACTCCTGACCTCAAGTGATCCATCCACTTTGGCTTCCCAAAGTGCTGGGATAACAGGCATGAGCCACCGTGCTGGGCCAGCAACTCCTGTTTTATACTCTTTGAGAAGTGGACGTGCTGTCTGCCCGTACTTGGGGTGTGAAGGGGAGGGAAACATGGTCACTGTTCTTTAGGTCTTGCCTTAGTCCCCATCAGTTCTCTTCCTGGCACAGAGGAGTAGAGAAGGCGGGAGGGAAGGGGGTGGGCAGGGGCAGAGAGGGAAGGCCCAGCTGTGCCCCCTCGAGGGTCGGTCTGGGGGCCAGCTGCCACTCCTCTTCCCCAGACTATCCTGGACCACATGCACCTCAAATGCAAGTGCCACGGGCTGTCGGGCAGCTGTGAGGTGAAGACCTGCTGGTGGGCCCAGCCTGACTTCCGTGCCATCGGCGACTTCCTCAAGGACAAGTATGACAGCGCCTCAGAGATGGTGGTGGAAAAGCACCGTGAGTCCCGGGGCTGGGTGGAGACTCTCCGGGCCAAGTACTCTCTCTTCAAGCCGCCCACCGAGAGGGACCTGGTCTACTACGAGAACTCCCCCAACTTTTGTGAGCCCAACCCAGAGACGGGTTCCTTCGGCACAAGGGACCGGACTTGCAATGTCACCTCCCATGGCATCGATGGCTGTGACCTGCTCTGCTGTGGCCGTGGCCACAACACGAGGACGGAGAAGCGGAAGGAAAAGTGCCACTGCATCTTCCACTGGTGCTGCTACGTCAGCTGCCAAGAGTGTGTTCGCGTCTACGACGTGCACACCTGCAAATAGGGCGCCAGGTAGGGCTGTGGGGGGAGGCTGGGAGCCTGGGCGCAGGGAATGGGGTTGTTTGCCTGTCTTTTCTTGACGACCCCCTTCTGTTTCTAAGCTATCCAAGACATGCAAGTTCCCACTGTCAAAATAGGAAGCCAGGATTTCCCAAACTTCCTTGGGAATGGTCCTCGGGCAGAGACTTGGTGGATTGCACAAAGCACAGACAACCCAGTGTTGGCCAGGCGTGGTCTCATGCCTGTAATCCCAGCACCTTGGAAGGCTGAGTCAGACAGATCACCTGAGGGCAGGAGTTCGAGACCAGCCCAGCCAACATGGTGAAACCCGGTTTCTACTAAAAATACAAAAATTAGCTGGGCGTTGTAGTGGGTGCCTGTAATTCCAGCTACTCTGGAGGCTGAGGCAGGAGGATTGTTTGAACCTGGGCATCATAGGTTGCAGTGAACTGAGATCACACCATTGTACTCCACTGTCTCAAAAAAAAACAAAAAACAAAAAACCTAAAACCCAGTGTGTGCACATTAGCTGCCAGCAATTAACATTTTCCCACAAGATAGTAAGTTATGACCCAGCTCAAATTTTTGCATGACCATTAGCTGTCATTCTTGAGCATTCTGTGGAGCTGTGGGGCTGGAAGCTGGGAGACGTGATGTCTGGTCCTAACTTTGTCCGTAACTTCCTGGCCTTTCACTTCTCTGAGCCTCAGCTTTCTTAGTATAAAGTGGTGATGGCGGTGCGGGTCGGGGCTCAGTTTACCTGAAACATTGAGCCAAAATGTCTCCTGTATCCCTGAAGCAGAGTCAGTGTGCCTCCACCTTGAACTTAGAGGAGAAGTTCTTGCACAAGCATAAATCTTACCAACCTCAGAGGTGGGTGGGGGAAGCGGCGTATAAGCCCATATCCTGACAGATCTGAAGCTTGGGTGGAGTGGGGAGCACTGTCACCGAGTTTATGGATGATGACGGGGAGCAGAAGGGATTCAAGTTCAGAGTGGCTAGGATGAGTAATCGAGGGATCAAAGGCTGGTGGATTTTGTTCCCAAGCTTCCCAGAGGTGGTCTGCGTGGGAGGCGCTGTGCGCTGGCCCTGGGTTCCACAACACCCCAGGATAGGTCAGCATGGACAAGGAGTGGTCCTGGAGCCCCAGGGGTTGAAGGTTGCTAAGGCTGGGGTGCCTTTTCTTCTTTTTCTCTCTCTTGAGCGAGAAAAAGAGGCCTGAGCATGGGTGTTGGAATTAGGCCGTTTCCTGGTCCAGCTCCTAGCACTTGCCAACCGTGTGACCCAAGCAAGAAATTCTTCATAGACCTGGTTCCTCACCTGTCGTCCTTCCCAGAGGTGCTGTGAGGGACAAAGGCAAGGACACTGGGGACAGGGCTTGGTTAATTGGGAAGCATTTCCCTGCTGGGTCATTGCCAGCTGGGGTGGTGCTGGGGAGAGCAGCCTGTGACAGGGTGGAGGCCCCCCTGGGTGATGCAGTTCCATTCAGGGCACCTCTGAGCTACTGGCATATGTCTGCTCCGTGGGGAGTAGGGGAGGGAAGTGGACGGGCCTCTCTGAGATATGGGAGGTACCTAACATCATGAAGGGCTCTGGCTGAGGGGCAACTCACTCAGCCCAACTCAGTGCAGCTCAAGTTATGTCCTGGTGGGGAGACCTCAGAAAGGCAGCAGGTGGCACTACCTTTCTCAGTGTCTAGACAAAAGCAGTGTGGGGAGTGGGAGAGGATGAAGGTGAGTCCAGCACCTCCACTTGGAGCCCCAGTTTCCTCCTCTCTTCAGTGATGGTGGCAGTGGGGGCCCAGCAGAACTTTTTTTTTTGAGACTGAATTTTGCTCTGTTGCCCAGGCAGGAGTGAAATGGTGTGATTTCTGCTCACGGTAGCCTCCGCCTCCCAGGTTCAAGAGATACTCCTGCCTCAGCCTCCCAAGTAGCTGGGATTATGGGTGCCCACCACCACAACCTGTTAGTTTTTGTATCTTTAGTAGACATGGGTTTCGCCATGCTGGCCAGGCTGGTCTTGAACTTCTGACCTCAAGTGGTCTGCCTGCCTCAGCCTCCCAAAGTGCTGGGATTACAGGCATGAGCCACCACTCCCGACCAGCAGAGTATTTTTGAGGCTGAGTTAGCTAACAGATGTGAATGCTTCTCTGTGTATAGTCCTAATAGGAAGCGTGATACCTACATCAGAGAGTGATTATATAGGGCAGTCATTGTGCAAGTGATGAAACTGCATCATCACTTGGACAGTTTCATTTACTGTTTTTCAAAATGATAGAAGAAAAGTCAGCCAATAAGAGGGAAGTCGCAGGCCAAGGGTAGCAGGTCAAGGTGCAGAGAATGTGAAGAACACAGTGGCCACCTGCCTTGGGTGTTCCCTGCAGCCAGAGGCAACACAGGGTTCCCACTGTCAAGCAGGACATGGCTGTGTTGGGTCCGAGAAGGGGCCGTATGGGGAATCAGTGTTTTAGAACACTGAACGGGGCCTAGAGAGCGATTTCCAGCCTGCCCATTTCACAGATGGGGACTCCACACTATCAACCAAGGCAAGGCTGCAGGGCTGAGGTCTCTGCCTCCAGAAAGCCCCATATATGGGTCTGGCAGAGGCCATAGCAGCAGCCCAAACCCCAGCAGTGGCTCTAGGGGCAGAGTGGGTCACAGAGAGATTCCTGCTGCTCTGTTCTGGCACCTCTTCTGCTGGGTCCTTTGTGGGGATCAGGTGCAGGGCTGGCTCTTGGTGTCCAGAAAATCCCCCACCTCGAACCACTATACAAACACTGATCCCAAGAAGAATCATTATTCTTTTCTTTTTCTTTTTCTTTTTTTTTAAACAGAGCCTTGCTCTGTCATCCAGGCTGGAGTGTAGTGGTATGATCTTGGCTCACTGATGATGCTTCTGCCTCCCACGTTCAAGCGATCCTCCTGCCTCAGCCTCCCAAGTAGCTGGGACCACAGGTGTGCACCACCACGCCCAGCTACTTTTGTATTTTTAATAGAGAGGATCTCGCCATGTTGACCAGGTTGGTCTTGAACTCCTGACCTCAAGTGGTCTGCCCACCTCAGCCTTCCAAAGTGCTCGGATTACAGGTGTGAGCCACCATGCCTAGCCAGAATCAGTACGCTTCATCAGCCCTCTTTTCTCCCCATTTCTGAAATAGACACTGGGTGTTTTCTTCCCAGTCTTATGTAAAGTGCTACATAGATATGGTTTCAAGATGCTGTGTCCAAGTGGTTCCTACCCTGAACCCCTTCTCTGTGGAAGCCCTGGAGGCCTCACTCTGGAACCCATGGAGGACACTCTCCCCACATGGTGCCCTTCTGATAAACACCCCCAGGCCAGCTCTTCTGCCTCACTGGGCCCTGGCGTCTTCATTTGTGAACTGGGGATGAGAACCATGTTCTGTGTAGGGTTGTCCCATGGACCAGAGACCCTGTATATGAAGGGCCTGGTGCGGACCAGAGATCCTGTATATGAAGGGCCTGGAGCTGCAGAAGCTCCTGGGCCAAACAGAGCTCCTGGAGCCACTTCTGCTGTCGAGCTGACCGCTCTGGAGCAGTGGGCCCAGGCTCAGCTGAGACTGGCCTACTCTGTGCTGACGTCGTAGGCAAGATGGGAGCCTGTGGGCCGCGCTGGCTGGGACGGCCGGGGACAGCATCTTCAGCTGTTCTCTTGGCTTCCCTGACAGTCTTGGCAGTGCAGGCAGGAGAGAGACGGGTGTCGCAGAGCAGGCCCCGGGCCCTCCACACAGAGGAGAGCCCTGTCAAATGGCTTGTGTCCTTCCTTTGTGGGAAAAATACCTTTCTGTAGCTTTTGCCCGGTGTCTCTGGCTCACCATTGATTTGGTGCCTTACAAGTGCCATATTTCTTCCTTGTCACTCTGCTGTTGTGAGCACAGCGAGCTGGAAAGGTTCTGGCAGGAGTTAGGTGGTCTGGTTGTACCTATGTCCTGGGTCTGTTACTGCCTTGCTGAGAGACCTTGGACATGTCCCTTCAATCTGGCTGAGCCTATTTCTGCCTCTGTCAAGTAGTCTAATCTTGGCCTTGTCAGCCCCCCAGAGGAGCTGGGGGTTGACTGGGAATGCCTGAAACCCTTTGTGAGATATGACTATGCAAATGAAGAAAATGAACACACTCCTGCTCCAATGGGAAGGAATTGTTCGTAATTAAGTAGGCTTTCTCCCATTTGGACAGCTCATTATCAAGCTATTTGGTGCGGTACAAAAACACAGTGCATGCCTGGCATGAGCCCAGCACAGCAGCTGATTCGTAGTTGGGGACGGGGCCCTTGGCCGGGCACCGTTTCTCCCAGCCTGTATACGAGGTGGAGTCGAGCAGTCAGGGAGTGACCTGTGCTCCTGGGCTTCCTGCTGCCCAAGGCCCTCAGTGAGAGGTGGGGAGGTAGAATTTGGATCCCAGTCTGTGGACTCAAAAGCCCTGCAGCTCCTGTGAATCATATAGCCTCGATTAACAGCAGGCCTGAAGCACAGAGGAGAGCGTGGAGAAGCCACTGGCGTCCTCATCATCTCTGAGCACCAGGACCTGTTCAGATCCACTGGCAAGCTCTGATCTTTGAACCCCAATGGGTGGTCTCTGGGAACGGAATTATGTTTCTAATTCTTCCTTTTTATTTTCCCTAAGGGCGCTGGGAAGGGGTGAAGTGTGTGGCTGGGCGGATTCAGCGAAGTCTCATGGGAAGCAGGACCTAGAGCTGGGCGCAGCCCTCAGCGTCAGACAGCAAGGAACTGTCACCAGCCGCATGCGTGGTAAATGACCCAGACCCAACTCACCTGTGGATGGGGAGGCTCTCCCTCTCTCTCATCTTACGTTTCTCACCCTACTCTGGATGGTGTGTGGTTTTTAAAGAAGGGGGCTTTCTTTTTAGTTCTCTAGGGTCTGATAGGAACAGACCTGAGGCTTATCTTTGCACATGTTAAAGAAAATAAAAATGAAAAAAAATTCGACTCCAACAGAATAGGCTGGGCTAATGTGAGCTCTCGGCCTGGCGGTCAAGACATCAGCATGGGCAAGGTTCTGTTTCCAAACTGCTGCTTCTGGTGACGTTCCAAGACGCCTGTCAGGTGGGAGTCAGGAAGTAGGCGCACCCCTGCAGTCTCCTTTTCTTGGTCTACTCCCATTCAAATCTGAGCTACTTTCTCATTCTGATAAAAGCCATAGGTTTCGCTAGGATGAAGTGGTAGGGAGGTCCGCGGCACTTGTTAGAGTAGGATTTGGAGTATTGAAGGAACCGGCAGCTCGGGTGGTTGGTAAGCTGTTTGAAGAGCAGCTGTGTGTTCTTCTCAGCCTCATTTTCTCTATAACCCTGTTCTGCACAAGAGGCAGTCAGATCTCACAATCCTTTTCTACCGTTCTGCAGTCTCCGCTGTCAATGCAGTTTTAGTTTACTTTTTGGTAGTGGATGTTGTAAATAGGTTATGTATGGGGATAAGTCTTCTCCGCTCAGATGGCTTCCTAATAAAATAAGAGGTATCTTTGGAAGGAGCCATTCAATCCTTCCAGCCCTGCTCACCTGCAGATTCTCTCTACAGATAACTCCACGTAGAGCAGTTGGATTCCAGGTCAACTTAGTGTAAGTTAGACAAAGGGTCTGTGAGAGAGTAGCAAACGATTTCTGAAATTCCAACTTTGTGACTAGCGGATGGGGAGGATGAAAACCATCCCTTTGTCTCCAATAGGGGCCCATCTTACCATGTCCCTTCCTCTCTAGGGCTGATGTGAGTAAACACAGACACAGAGTTCTTCCCCCCAGCTCTTCCTCCCTTACTTGCATGCTGAGATAGTTTCCATCCACACAGTTCCCAAGGATCTGGATTAGGGACCAGCAGTCACCTACTCCCTTGGGTTAAGCATCTCACGGCTGAGTTCTCCCTGAGGCATACTGTTCCAGCCGAGGGTCCTAGAGAAAGCTAGCAAAAGGGAGCCACATGGATTTAACAGTATGAATCGGTTCAACAACTGTCTTAGGGAGAATCAGAAAGAAGAGCTGCTGCAGGGGAACGAGCAGAACAAAGATTTTTCTTTTCCCTCTTCTCTCTGGGTCTGCCTAACCCTGACCTAAAATACCAGGGCAGCGATTTCTCAGCTGGTGCAGGTGGGCTTGCCAAGATGGTCGTCCAGGAGCCTGCCTTCACTCCTAAATCTGCTGGCCACAAGCCCTGCTAAAGATACACATCTCACCCACTCCACTGAGTCCGAAATGCCCCTCCCCATCTCACCTTAGACTGAAAAGTTTTAAATCATGTCAACTGGATAATGCTTGCTTTATGGGAGAATATTTCAGCAGAATGGATACGAATTTTCAAAACAATCTTTTCATATCTATGTATTCTATATTAAAAGTGATAAAGTCATGTTTCTGGGGCGTATTCAAGTAGCTGACAAGTAATTATTTAATAATAGTACATGAGTGCATTGTAATTATTCTCGCTGTAGTCAGGTAATAGTATCCAACCGAAATTTCCTACCAACCTGCTGTATCCAAAGTTTTGTAAAAAGTTGTAGAAGTTGTTGATCTTTTTGATTTTATATTCAAAAAGTCTCTTTTTATAAATATTATTTATTATACAATGTATATACCTTTGCGTTAACTAAGATTATATATTATATAAATATATATATATTTGGAGAAAATATATTTCATCATGCAGTTTTTTTCTGTTAAGTCATTAAAGAGAAGGTAAACGAACCTAAAATGGATACACTGTACACTGTGTGGGGTTTCTAGATTCATGCTCAGGGGGTCAAGGATATCTGATTCTGAACATCGTGGCCTCAGCTAATTAAATGACCAAGTGAAGGTCATTTCCTCTGTTCTCTAAGCAAGATCGTCAGGGATGTCATGGACAGTAGGTCTCATATACCACAGGACATTCTTAAAGGCTTCCTTTGTTCTAAGTTAACTTCTAACAATGAATTTCCAGTTTTAGAAAAGCAACTACTTGGGTAGTAATTCATTTCACAGACTCAAGCATTCTCAGTGTACAAATTAATGTCACAGGCACTCCTAAAAGATGTGGCCCAAGGCCAGCAGACCGCAGGGGTGGCCACTGCCTTAATCCCCTCCTCACCACGTTTTCAACTCCATTTAATGGGAAAATAGGATTTTCTCTATTGAAAATGAAACTTCACTGAAAATGATCTGTCCCCTGCTAGCTCCACCGTGAGAGCTAAGCCACAGAAGAGGTAGGTTGGTCGGCAAGAAGAAAGGGTGCCCCCTGGGCTATGGGCTGTCTGGAACAAGTGTCATCTGAAGTTGGGTTTGGGTAGAAGGGGCTGCCAGTGGGCATGCTCTGGGGATGGGCACCCTCTCCTTGGACCACCGCTTCACAGGACCCACCGGAAGTTCACAGGTTATGCCTTCTCAACAGTGAGATGCCTCAAGTCGGTTTTATGACAACAGACAACTGTTTAGTTTTCAGACCTACCCATAAAATGTCACCTTCGGTTTATTTGGCACATTATTTCAGAGAACGACAAAGATCTTTTGTCTTTCTTTCTCCTAATATACCTCAATTAGAAACAAATCTTACTCATCTCACTACAAAGAGAAATAATAACAGGCTGGGCTCAGTGGCTCATGCCTGTAATCCCAGCACTTTGGGAAGCCAACGTGGGCAGATCACCTGAGGTCAGGAGTTCGAGACCAGCCTGGCTGACATGGTGAAAGCCCATCCTTACTAAAAATACAAAAATGAGCAGCTGGATGTGGTGGTGCATGCCTGTAGTCCCAGTTACTCGGGAGGCTGAGGCAGGAGAATCGCTTGAACCTGGGAGGTAGAGGTTGTAGTGAGCTGAGATCGTACCACTGCACTCCCAGCCTGGGCAAAAGGGCGAGACTCCATCTCAAAAAAAAAAAAAAAAAAAAAAAAAAACAACAGGAAAATAAGGCCGTGAGCTGCGTGTGGTGGAGGTGGGCTGCTCTGCGCTGCATTCAGATCTCTAACCTGAGGTTAGGAATAGCCACCGGAAGTTCATGCACTCTGTTTTGCCCATGATGTGTCATTAGTCCCTGAGGAGATGAAACCACAAAAGCTGTGTCGCTTCAGCTGTACAAGGAATTGGACATGTATACGATACAGATCTCTTCTACATCTTACAGTCTGGTCATTTTATTTCATTTTTACTTATTTTTGTTTTACTTTTGCATAAAGCTAATGCAGGTTGAATACCCCTTTTCTGAAATGCTTGGGACCAGAAATGTTTCAGATTTTGGAAGGTTTGCATATATACAATGAGGTATCTTGGGAATGGAACCCAAGTCTAAACACAAAATTCATTTGTTTCATATACACCTTACATAGCCTGAAGTTAATTTTATAAAACATTTTTAATAATTTTGTGCATGAAACAGTTTTGACTGCATTTTGATTGCCACCCGTCACACGAGGTCAGTTGTGGAATTTTCCACTTGTGGCATCATGTCGGTGCTCAAAGTTTTAGATTTTAGAGCATTTCAGATTTTTAGATTTTTAGATTAGGGATGTTCAACCTGAACTTATCTATCCCAGTATTCTGGGTAATTTTTCTTTTTGTGAGATAGGGTCTTGCTCTGTTGCCCAGGCTGGAGTGCAGTGATGTGATTATGGCTCACTGCAGCTTCAACCTCCTGGGCTCAAGTGACCTCCTACCTCAGGCTCTGTGTAGCTGGCACCATAGGTATGTGTCACCATGCCCAGCTAATTAAAAAAATTTTTTTTAGAGATGAGGTCTTGCTATGTTGCTCAGGCTGGTCTTGAACTCCTGGCCTCAAGCGATCCTCCCACTTTGGCCTCTCAAAGTGTTGGGACTACAGGCATGAGCCACCCGGTCTGCCCAGTACTTCTTCAACCAATAAGATTGCCAAATAGTTAAAGGGTCCCTATTCATACTTATGAAGGCCATTTGTAATCCTATATTAATCACAGTTTTTAATTTTTTTTTTTTAAGGGCCAGCAGCCTATCGAGCTGAGAGCCTCAGGGGCTGACAGCTTTCTAGGCTGAAGGCGATAGTTTTTAATTTTTAAGAGACAAGTATCTATGTCACTCAAGAGTACAGTGGCATGATCATGGCTCACCACATCCTTGACCTCCTGGGCTCAAATGATCCTCCTCAGCCTCCCAAGTAACTGGGACTCAGGCACACTCCACCACTGTCATTAAAAAAAAAAAAAAAAAAAACTTCTGTAGAGATGGGGTCTTTGTTGCCCACTGGTCTCAAACTCCTGGGTTCAGGGGGTGCTCCCACCTCAGCCTCCCAAACTGTTGGGATTAGTGGGTGAACCACCACGCCCCGCCTAATCATACTTTATGATTTAGGTCAATACAGTTTATAGCTATGCTTGAACATGTAGTTTCTCCCTATGTATAAGTACTTATAAACATCTAAACACAAGAGGACATCGTTTAAAAATCAGAAAGAGACAACATGGTATCTTTCAAAGCAGTATTATTTTATGACGAAAGAAGGGAAGGAAAGTATGTGAGACAGTTCAAAAATAAGGGGATGAGGTACAAAGAAAGGTTGAAGGAAAGAAGGTAGGGAAAAAATAGAAAAAAAAGGGAAACATACTGGCGAGATGATTCTTGGTGTTATCTAATGCCATCTCCCATGGTGGCCCTGGGCATATGGGCATGTTCTCGTGTGTGTCGCTGGTCTGTACGCTCGAGTGAAGTCAGTGCAGCTAAGCATTGCTGCTATACTGCCACTGTCTCCTAGCTTAATAGAGACCTTTCTACGAGGCAAAAATGTCTTACCATTAATCTTATACTCCCAAAATAGTGAGACAGGAGTTATGTGGAGACTGTATGCTGGGAACATTTCAAACATGATTCCTCCTTGGATATTTTGTCTTCACCCACTTGGGATGCTTGCCGATCACAGGCACTATCTCCTGCATCTTAATGCCACCGTGTCCGTCCAGCACACACCCTCATGGGCTCATCTCCAGGACCCAGTCTCAGTATGGCTTGCCAGCTGATGAGAAACTCTAGATCATTTTGCAATAAATTCTGCAATTTACATGCTGTCTTGAACTCTCATACACACCCTTTCCCAGTCACTTCTTTATTTTTTGAGACAGAGTTTTGTTGTTGTTGCCCAGGCTGGTGTGCAGTGGTGCAGCCTCTGCTCACCACACCATCTGCCTCCCAGATTCAAGCAATTCTCCTGCCTCAGCCTCCTGAGTAGCTGGGATTACAGGCATGTGCCACCATGCCCAGATAATTTTGTATTTTTAGTAAAGACGGGGTTTTACCATGTTGGTCAGGCTGGTGTCAAACTCCTGACCTCAGGTGATCTGCCCACCTCAGCCTCCCAAAGCACTGCGATTACAGGTGTGAGCCACCGTGCCCGGTCCCCAGTCACTAAGGATGCTATGGACCAAGTTGTCAGGCAAAGAAAATGAAATCCTGCTTTCCCCTTCTGTGTTTGGGCTGGAGTAGTCGTTTATAGCTGACTCACGGTTGCAACAAGGCTGTTGTTCAGGATTTGATTATTTGTACACACTTCAATCTACTCCATGATTTTGTGACTTGCTGCTGAAACTTTTAAAGGGGATGCTGTAATTTTTAGGATATGAAAAGACAGCCTTAAAATAAAAACATATTTTAGATCTTAACCACAATTATGCAATTTTTCTGTGTGACATTGAAAAAAAGAAGTGTCCCAGTGAAGATGTACAGATTTAGAAAGGATAAAATAACCTCCTCTTTTGAGGTTTTGATCCCAAAAACATATTCTGACAAAAAAATAGCCAGTTAACAAAATTCACTCATAGATGAAGAAACCTAAGGCAGCAGCTAGCTGGAGGCTCCTTTGCTTCTTCACAGGCCATACTGTAATCTCATATGCTCTGCTGCACAGCACTGGCTTTGAAGAATATTTGGGCAGCTTCAAGAATCAGCCTTCTCAAGGCTATGCAGGGACCAGGTCAGCCTCAGGGTCCTCCTCCCAGGAGCTCCCGTTGTGGAAGTTCTTGAAGCTGGCCTCTTTCCCACAGGGCCTTGTGGATTTTCTGGGCTGCCTCCTGTTCTAACCTGAGCCAATGCTAAGGATCAAGGTTTAGGAGGCTAAGAGATCTGATAGCTCCAGAAAATGTAAAAAATGAACCATGTGAAACAATCTCACTGAGAGCCTTTAAGTTCCTTCGTTTGTATATTTCACAGGAAGCAATTGCTCTAATTGAGCAACAACTCTCCTTTCTGGTTTGTTACTAACCTTGTTGTGGCTTAGGTACCTCAGGGTTTTTTGTTTTTTTTTTCTTTTTTTCTGAGACAGTCTCCTTCTCTTGCCCGGGCTGAAGTGCAAGTGGCATGATCTTGGCTCACTGCAACCTCTGCCTCCCAGGTTCAAGTGATTCTCTTGCCTCAGCCCCCTGAGTAGTTGGGACTACAGGATGTGCCACCACACCTGGCTGTTTTTTGCATTTTTAGTAGAGACAGGGTTTCACCATGTTGGCCAGGCTGGTCTTGAACTCCTGACCTCAAGTGATCCACCTGCCTCGGCCTTCCAAAGTGCTGGGATTACAGGCATAAGCCACTGCACCCAGCATTTTAAAAAATAAAATAAGTATAAAGCATAAAGATGCTTGTATACTAACTTTTTCTGATATTCTAATGATCTGTTTTTAAATAACTATACTTTCTCAATAATTAAGAGATTTTTAAATAAAAATCATCCCTCACATTATGCTACTTAACACAAAACAAGGAGCAGTTTCTTTCCTGAGACCCTCCTTCTTCCTCCATTCCTATCAGCTGTCCATGTCCTTCTGTATGAAATACTGGTCTACAGAACATTTTCAAGTATATTTACTCTTTATTGCATTCCTTCATTTGCATTAAACAATATTATATTTATATTTTTCAATATCGTTTTGGACAAAACACAAAGACATTAAGCTCATTTAACAAGAGACAGAAGTTAACACAATGTGTGCTGCTTTCATGAGGAGGAAAGAGGCAAGATCTTAGCGGAATCCAGGATACTGGCCACCAGGAATCGCAGACTCTCACAGTACAATCCACTTTTTAAAAGCCACAAAATAAGCCAGAGAAGAAAACCCAAAACAAAGAAGAAATGCCATACAAGTCTCCACCAAAAGTGTACAAACGGCAAGATCTGGAGATGATGTGCTTTCTCAAATGGGGACAAATGACAGAGGAGCGACATCCAAGTGCGACTGTGGCCACAAGCCTCATGGGCGGCGTGTGGTGTAAGCACTTTAGGATGGCTTCTGATCGCCTGTCCTTGCATTTTAAGCAGCAATGGGGAGAGAGGCACGCTCTGTAAGTCTCATCATCAGATATGATGACCTAATTAAATCCCTGCTAAGTCAGTTAGTTATAAAACAAATCACTCTCAAAAGGACTCAATGGGTGCTTCCTTTTGGAAGAAGTATGTGGAGGGTAAAGGAAATGTGCTCAATGTATTGGAATGGACAATAAAGGATTGAGGGGAGAGGGCTAGAAAATGGTTGATTTTTCTGGAGAATAGTGTTTTATTTAGATAGTAAATAGTACAGATCATTTAAAATAAAGGATAAATTCTAAGTAAGTCATTAAGCTAAGGAAAAAAGCAGTGATACTAATAAGCATCAATATTATGCTAAGGAAGTGACCCACTTGGAGTTGGACACTAATTAGTGCTGAGGGGTTTATAAATTAATAACTCCTTTCTGTTTGGGGGTGTACGCTTTTTCCATACCTAATCTTTCATGTTTTTAACAACATCTACTAAGTGGTAATAATTAGCATATCTCTTACCACAGAGCAAATTAGTTATACTAAGGGGAAGTCACAGTCAACACTGTAGTCAACTGACATTCTACTGAGAAAGATCTGACTGCAGCTTGAAAACATCTCTGACAATGATTGGGAACAGGATTTGAGAGATGCAATGCCATGTTTCTTCAGGCAAAGAGAATAACCAGTCTTGTGGGAGACATTTAACCAAATACCCAGCGAGCTCTAGTGTTAGCTCAGGACAACTGTCAGAGGATCTCTGGCCCACACCTCGATTTACTGAGCCAGGTCTGCATGTGGAAAGTCTGCCTTCTAATTAGCCAACTGTTGTCATGCAACATTCAATAGACTGATTGCGAGTTTGCAGGGGTGATGGTGCTGGAGAGAGCTTGAAACATGTAGTGTCCACAAGTACTGATGGTCCCTACAAAGAGGGACTGAGCAAGAAGGATCACTTTAGCCTTCATGGAAAGGTAAGTGCAGCATTCTAAACCAAGTTTACACCTCCACAAGACACTAAGCTATCTCAGTAAGCATAAAGAAGGGAGTTTTATTGCACTAATCATGCAGAGCGAGCCTGTGTTGAAGGTAGAGAACGTTCCACTTAGTCCGGTATCTTGAGGAGGACGGTGAAGATCCCAGGCCATCTTCACCTTGGTCACTTCCCTTGGTCACTGTGTGTTTCAAATAGTTCATTTTCAATCAAAATCAAGGGGGCTACTGCAAAAGAAATACCAAAACACAAAAAACCAGATGAGGGTCTGTAAAAAACTATTCATCTAAAAAAAATATCACTAAAAGCTTCTTAATGGTTTTCCTACATTTTCCACTATGCATTTGCTATTAGCTGAGCACTTCACAAAAGAAAATGGTCATGGCTCCATGCACGTTAAACCAGGTTCCAATAAATATGTACCATTAAGTTTTTCCTGCACTGTGACAAGGAAGTTTTGCGAAGCAGGACAGGGAGAGCAAACGCACAGTACTACCCACTTCCTTGCTTGGTCTCTCGGGCCTACAACACAGTGAAGAATTCAAATAAATAGAGACAAACTTATCTAGGAAAGCAGCTCTTAGAACAGGCAGAGGGCTTTAACAGGGTGGTAAGTTTGGCTGACGGTCATTAAGTGTTCTGTGTACTTACGTTCCTTCTTCTCTTAAGAGGGCCAAGAATTTTCTCACGCGGTATTCAGGATCCATCTAAATATATCAGGAGAAATGAAGACAGGTTAATGGTACCTTCTAACAACTGTGCGCTTCATGCCAGGGCAATGGTCGGTTTCACACTTCTTCAATGTTCTGCTAGGTAACCGAATGCGTTACCTGCTCCTTGACCAGCATTCTGACACACCACAAAGCAGATCACATCATTTGGGAGAAGTGAATGGGGTTTTCCAGAACCACGTACGCTGAGTTCCAAAAGACCAAGCCCACTGGCCATCATAGACACTTGGGCCAGGGGGTGCCCTCTGCTGGCCCCTGTGAGACATCGCTGTGAGACTGGACAGGGTCATTTATCAGAGTTCAAATGACACCCAATTCATCTGTTGAAGGTATAAAAGTCTACTAAAGGCACAACAAAATGGAAGACACCAAATTGAGGTTGACTCAACAACTAAAAAACAGTTTATTAACTCTAGATAATCAATAATACAGTTTTTCTTAGCCTCAGTATCTGTCATATAGTTTCTTCTTTATAATAACAAAGTTGTGCTAAAACTAAAAAAATGAAGAGTACTGCCGATTCCTGATATAATCTCTAGATTAATCTGGGTCTCCCGTGACTTGCAAACATGTCATGAGTCTAAGAAAAGATGGCGGAACTTGGTGCTTGGTTCAGGTGGTTATTATTAATTATCTTGACTGGTTTTCATTTTCTATTAATATTTATACTAACTTGTTAAATATACTTTATTCTCATAGGCCTACAGGAGATATGAAGTTATCTAGAAAACAATCATTAAAAACATATTTAATTCCTGAAGATGAATTTTTATTGTAAGAAACACACCTAACTTTTAAAATATGTTTCAGAGAAGGAGCCTGTTTCCTAAGAGGGAACTCCCTGCCCTCCAGGAGCAACTTTCAAACACTCAGTGCAGCTGTGGGTAGACTGCAATTGGACTCCCCCTCCAAACATAATTTTTTTGTTGTTGTTTTTTAAGATTTCTTCTGTCCCAGAAAAACACTGAACAGAAATTTCAAATGTATCAAAGTTAAGTGGTCAGACTACAAAGGACTAAGAAAAAGTGTGAATAGCTAACAAAAGAAACATTTTTCCTTTTTAGGAATTGAATTACATATGAATCAATTGTTAAGTTCTTAAAAAAAAAAAAAAAAAAGGAACTGGCTGGAGCTCGCTGTAGTCGGTACTTGCCGGTCTTTGCCCATTAAATATATTTAATATGTGTGAGCAACGACTGCCTGACTTGCCTGTAGCTATGGAATTAAAAGGCAGGAGAAAAGGAGGAAAAAAGTAATCTAGATAAATGACTTTATTCCCTCAGGTGACATCCAGTCAGAGCAGATCCTCGGCACTGTGCAAGTTTTAACAGAATCGCGTGTAGTGAACAGAGAGGTAACATGACTTATATTCTGCAAAACTACATGCCTCTTCACTTAGGCTCAGCCTCTCTAAGGCAGATCTAAAGAGAATTCACTCGGCTGCACGAAATCCATTTGACATGAAGGGGTTCAAACTCAGAGGCCTATGAAATGTCAGTTGCTGAAGATTAGGCCTGAGTGCTCCACTCTCACCCTCTACCCCACATGCATAAGAAGCATTAACTTGATCATTGACCTGCAGGCATCAAACGAAGGGAAAGGGATGAGGGTTGGGGAAAAAACCCACATAGTTTCTTCTTCTATGCAATTATTGAAAAAAAAGTATACTGAAACTTAAAAAAAAAAGAGCTGACAATCTGACAGATTTATCTTTTTTTCAAGGAAAGAGCCAATACACCTGTATTTGCACCTTTACCAAGAATAAGTCTAAACAAAGTGGTTAGTCTGTAACTTTAATTTATGCCTCATCATGGAAAATAAATTAATTGACTTAAAAATAGTCCATCTGAAAGCTCAGTAAATTAGATTTCTGAAAGCCACAAAAATTTTATTTTCAGATACATTTACAAGAAAAGATTAAAAAGCATGCGCTTTATGTTTCCAGTGTGTTATTGGAACAAGAGCCTATTTCAGGTGTAACTGTGAAACTTACACTTCACCTCTGCCACTTATTGCTCACACTAGCAGAATCGCAGGACCATCAGTAAGTAACTCACGATGCCTAGAATAGAGCCTCTCTGTCCACCTAGGACCAGAATGAATTTGTAATTATTCATCCAACAAAAGTTTACTGGGGGGGGGGGCGCAGTGGCTCACGCTTGTATTCCCAGCACTTTGGGAGGCCAAGGTGGGTGGATCACCCGAGGTCAGGAGCTCGAGACCAGCCTGGCCAACGTGGTGAAACCCCTTCTGTACTAAAAGTATAAAAAATTAGCTGGATGTGGTAGTGGGTGCCTGTGATCCCAGCTACTTGGGAGGCTGAGGCAGGAGAATCGCTTGAACCTGGGAGGTGGAGGTTGCAGTGAGCCCGAGATTGTGCCACTGCACTCCAGCCTGGGCAACAGAGTGAGACTACATCTCAAAAAAAAAAAAAAAAAAAAAAAAAATTTACTGAGGTCCAGGCATGATGGCATATACCTGTGACCCCAGCACTTTGGGAGTCTTAGGCAGATGGATCACTTGAGCTCAGGAGTTCAAGACCAGCCTGGGCAGCATAGTGAAACCATGTCTCTACAAAAAATGCAAAAGTTAGTTAAGTGTGGTAGCATGTGACTGCAGTCCCAGCTACTTGGGAGACTGAGGTGAAAGGATCACTTGAGACTGGGAGGTTCAAGCTGCAATAAGCCGTGATCATGCCACTGCACTCCAGCCTGGGAGACAGAGCAAGACCCTGTCTCAAAATAATAATAATAATAACAATAAAAGTTTACTGAGCACCCTACTAAGTGTTGGCTTGTTCCAGGGGCTGTAGACTCAATAGTGAGAGCCAAGGTCTTTGAACTCATAGGATTTGATAGGGAGAGATTTATCAGCTAAATTGTATGTCAGATAAGGACAAGAAGACACAGGATGGGCACATGGAGGGGTGGAGTTCCAAAAAGAGGAAAGGTACATTGCCAGGAGACATGAGAAAGTCCCAAAGAAGTTTCATCTGTCTTTGCCCAGGCAGCAGCCTGGGGCTCAGTTTTCTACGTGATCCTAGATGCTTCAACCTACAGTAGTTTGCATGAAATTTCTAGGAGCCCAGCCAGGGAAATATACACAGAGCCCAAGTCTAGACTGCACAACTTAATTAACTTGTCCCTTAAAACAGTCTCCCAGACATCTTTTGGTGTATGTGTGGTCGCTTACTGACTTCTGAGGTACAACACCATCCCTTCTCCATCAATAACCTGGCGATGTGATCTTGGAGAATTCACTGACAACCTGTCACACACATAGTATCCTCATCTCCAAAATGAGGAGGCAGCACAAACACTGCTCTTTGAAGTCTTTTCTAGTTCTAAGATCTAGTGGCTCCCTAAATTAAAATTAACTTTATGATCTTTCCTTCTATTGTTGAATTTTAAGAAGTTAAAAAGTATTTATAAGTGATCAATCTCAGAAGCAGGTTGGTAATACCAAATCAAGTTGGGAAATAATATAAGAAAATTATAACTTCAATTAACTAAAACCTTGGCAAAGGAAATACTGAACGCTCTTGGTGTATCCTGAAGCTCTGTTCTGTCTGAGTCATGTGGAGAAGGAAGTACCTTACCTGTAAGGACATCTCGATCAACATTAGTAACTTCTTGATTCCTATCCAGACCTTCTTCCCTTTGACTTGCTGTGCAATTGTGGTGCGCTCCTTATCCTTGAAGTTGCCCAAAAGCTACAAAAACAATAATCAAAGCACTTTTACAATAAATGCATCAACAAGGGTTAATTCTATTTACTTTTAAAAGAAGAGTGATAAGAACTACCTAACTGTTAAAATCCAGTCTGACCTTCCTAAACCCATTAGGGTCAATCATAAAAGTGAAACTGGTATCTTAAACCCTGTTTTCTTATGGACCTCCATTCTAACTTAGAGATATATATGCTGGGGTAAAAACAGCTCCAATCCATAATAAGTATGTTAAAATTTTTAACATTCTTTTCTAGGAACAATCTGTATGTGTCAAAGCAAACTACCTTTAATTCTCTTACCCGGCTCCTGCACAAAAGTTGCCTAAACAGGTAATCCGAAAACGTTTATCATATAGATACATTTCTATTTTTGTTGGGGTCCTTGAGGACTTTAAGAAGCCTTACTGACTCTACCACTGCTGAATAACTCAGCAGATAGTATTTGCCAATAGAGCTCACCAAGTCATTTGTGAATACTGGTATTAAAAAATTAAATGAAGAATATTAAAAGAAATAACTGTCATTTTCAAAAAATTAAGAAAACATTCCTATTTCTAAACTTGTTATTTTTTACTTCTATAGCTTTTTTTTGACAATTCTAAGGCTTTAATCATTGTTCCAATTTACCAAATGCAAGGAAATGCACCGAAAGCTGCGCTGAATGATTAATTTCTCTATACTGTGATCGCCTCACCCCCACACCGCCACCCACTCAAGTTTCTGGTCCAAGTAATCTACATGCATCACTCATGCTGGACACAGAGCAATCCACTCCTGGCATTTTGTAGGCTGCCCACCCCGAGGAATGGGAAATTAATTCACTGTCATGTGTCCTCTCATTCCTGAAAACAACTGGAGGTATGGGTTGAGTATCCCTAATCCAAAAAATCTGAAGTCTAAAATGCTGCAAAGTTGTAAACTTTTTGAGTGCCAACATGCCATTCAAAGGAAATGCTCACTGAAGCATTTCAGATGTCCAGATTAGAGATGCTCAACCTAAATATAATGCAACATTCCAAAATCTGAAAAAATCTGAAATTTAAAACACTTGTGGTCCTTGGCACTTTTTGTTGTTGTTGTTAGACAGAGTCTTGCTCTCCTGCCCAGGCTGGAGTGCAGTGGCACAATCTCGGCTCACTGCAACCTCTGCTTCCCAGGTTCAAGCGATTCTCCTGCTTCAGCTCCTTGAGTAGCTGGGAATACGGGTGCCCACCACCATGCCCGGCTAATTTTTGTATTTTAGTAGAGACAAGGTTTCATTATGTTGGCCAGGCTGGTCTCAGACTCCTGACCTCAAGTGATCCACCTGCCTTGGCCTCCCAAAGTGCTGGGATTATAGGTGTGAGCCACCACGCCCAGCCTAGTTCCAGGCATTTTGGATAAGGGATACACAATCTGTAATATCCCTGGGTCCCATGTTCTAGATTAGTGTAAAAACCAAACACCAGGTGTAATGACTGTGATACAGCTCAATTCAGCCTCAATTTCTTTCTTATAAACAGTGTGCAATGTATTGACTCATTTTCACCTCCAAAGCTTCCAATAGCTGCTCTCCGGTGGCAATGTTGGGCACATGAATGGTGGTGCTGAAAGCATTAAGCATTTCCATCTCCTGAAGGACATCTTTGCGGCTTGTGGTCCCAATGATAAGAAGCTTCCGGCCCTGATCAAAGGGAGAAAATGTTAAAATGTATATAATAAGACTAATTAGGAAACTAGAATAAGCTTGAACAAAGTTTGCAAAAGCCATTTATTTAATCTTGCAAATGCAAATGATTAGGCAAAAGAGAACAAAACAGCTCAGGATTTTCCTGAAAATTCTGAGTAAAGGTACCAACAACATGATTCAGAAAGTGGCAACATGCGAACAGCTCCTTCTCATTCATGTCAATAAAACAATGGATTAGCAAATCAGGGAGATACACAAACCAAAGGGCAAGATACTGACATGTATGTAGGTAAGTCTTTCATGAGACATGGCACATGTATGGTGGGAATTGGGGAAAAAAGATGACATGAATAGAAAGTATGTGGCGCTGGCTTCATTAGTACACTTTTCAGGAGGGCAGGGCAATAATAGTTGATGTTTATGCAACGCTTAACTGTGAAAGGTGTCGGCTAAAGTGTTTTCCATAATTGTCACATTTTATATTTTTCATTTTTTACTTTTAACCCTGAAATATTAAAAAAAAAAGTTTTAAAACTATGCCAGGCTTATGCTACCCATTTGCAGTTCCCTTTGTCCAAAGGCAACAATTTTCAACTCTCTTAGCTTTTCTTCTTATAGTTACTTCTTTATCTTTAAATGATAAGGTTACATTACTAGTTTTAGACTTCTGTTTTCCCTATAAATATGATTTACTAACTTCCTACTATGGAAGATGGGATTTATTATTGATTTTGTACCCCTCCTTCCCCCACCATATGTCCCTTTTTACATCTTCCAATACAGTTATTTCACAGTCTTTAGTTAAATCTGTATTCAGCATTAAGTTTATACAAATGTGGTTTACAGGTAGGCCACGCAGAATACTACTCAATTTCTTTCTTGGACAAAATTTTGTTTTACTGGAGTTAACTGCCTTTTTCCCCTTAGCTTAGTTTACCAGGTACTGATCACAAGTTTGCCTCTAAACAAAGAGAACCACAAGTCTCCTTTCAGTATATTCAAATATATTGCATAAAGTTGTGTTCTTGAAGAAATTCCCCTCCAGGAGTCCTCTGTCTTCACAGTTCAATCTGAAGGAGTGACTCTCTAGGCATGGGGCACAGCTGTAGTTCTGGATCTTTCCTCTGTTAGATTCCCTGTATCCTAGCCTTCCTTTTTCTTCACCTATTCCCTTATCTGTGCTGCATATACCCAAAAGCTTCCTGAGAAAGAGTGCAAGGGAGACAAAATTTTAAAGATCTTGTATATCTGGAAATACCTTTATTCTTAATCTTGTATCCTTTGTCTTAATAGTTTGGCTAGTTGTAAAAAATAAGGTTAGAGGACGAACATGGTGGCTCATGCCTATAATCCCAGCACTTTGGGAGGCCGAGGCAGGTAGATCACCTGAGGTCAGGAGTTTGAGACCAGTCTCCAGTAAAAATACAAAATTAGTGGGTCAGCTACTTGGGAGGCTGAGGCAGGAGAATGCTTGAACCAAGAGGCAGAGGTTGCAGTGAGCCAAGATCGCACCACTGCACTCCAGCCTGGCAACAAGAGTGAAACTCCATCTCAAAGAAAATAAAATAAGGTTAGAAATATATTTTTTTCTCACAATTTTGAAGGCGCTGAAGTCTAAAAGACAAACGTTATCTGATCTTTAATCTTTTGTTTCTAACCTTTTTAATACAAAACTTTCAGAATCTTTTCTTTATCCCTATGTTCTGCAATTTGAAAACTACATACCTTAAGATGGTTCTTTCTATACTCATTTTGCTGGCACTAGATACATTCTTTCTAAACTGGAAATTTCAATCATTCATTTCTAGGAAATACCTTGGACTATTTCCTTGAGATTTCCTCCCATTCATTTTCTCCGTATTACCCACCGGGAACCTCTGCTAGTTAGATACTGATCCTCTGCAACTAATCTTCTAATTTTCTTATTTTTTTGTTCTTAGTTTTTATTTCTTTCTCTAATACTTTCTAGGTTAGTATCAATTTTATCTCCTAACCTTTACACTAACTTACTTTTTAGTTCTAACAGCCTTCCTGTTTTCTGAATGTTTTCTTTTTTAATCGTATCCTGTTATACTTCATGTATATAGTATCTTGTTTTCGATCTCTGAGGCTGGGTGCAGAGGCTCACACCTATAATCCCAGCACTTTGGGAGGCCAAGGTAGGCAGATCGCTTGAGCCTAGGAGTTTGAGACCAGTCTGGTTAACACGGTGAAACCTCGTCTCTATAAAAATACAAAAATTAGTTGAGTGTGGTGGCAAGTGCCTGTAGTCCCAGCTGCTTGGGTGGCTGAGGTGAAAGGACTGCTTGAGCCTAGGAGGTTGAGGCTGCAGTTAGCTGAATGGGACCACTACTTTCCAGCCTGGGTGACAAAGTGAGACTCTGTCTCAAAAACAAACAAAACAAATAAAACCCAAAACCTGTGAATATTATAGATTGCAAAAATGACTTTTTCTTCTGTTTCTTGTTTTGTCTATTTCCTATGACCTGCCCCTTTTTCCTATTTGTTTATGAAGGCTTTCCTCGAGTGTCTGGTGATTGCTGGATAGCTATTTATATTTAAGAGTTAAACTATGACTAGAAATTCTATGTCCGGGGGCTTCACTATAGGATGATCAGGTAAGACTTGGCTGATTATCGGGGGTCCCTCAAAGGTCAGTATGTGCAAACTTTTCCCAGAGAAGAATCTTCCAATCTCCTTCGCAAAGACTATAAAGTCTTGTGGCCAGAACACTGGAATCGACAGGGTAACGCTTCAGGTATCTCATCATTTAACAGGGAGACCTCCATTTAATCCTCTTTGCAGCATGGCATCTCTCCAGATCAGTCTCTCAATTAATCTTCATTAGAATCATGAGAATTCAGTACTAGTACTATCCCCATTTTACTGATGAAGCTATTGAATTTCACAGATTTAAGTCATTTGTGTTCAAGGCCAAACAACCAATACATGATGGAGCCAAGACAGGAAACCAGATCCAGATCCAAATCATATACTGCCTCTCTTTACAAAGAAAAGCACATTACTAACGAAGTTTACTTGGAAAATGGAAGAGGAATAAGTTTTAAACTTATATCACTAGATTTATAATACACACTCAGTCCATAGATAAGTCTTCAGTAAAGGCTTAACATTCTTAGAAATTCAGAACATTGAAATAAATGCGTTAGCAAGAAAAGATTTTAAGAAACCAAAACGATTTCAATTTGGGTTTGGTAAACATTATACAACTACTGTCAATAAGACATGTCAGCCTTTCTCAGTGTTATTCATTGTTTTTATCCTCCTGCTGTGCCAAGAATGGGCAATGTCCTACCACAAACCAACGCAGATCAAAGAAACAAAGTTGGGACCTTCTGGTACAATTAGCCATCAGCTTAACAGATGATTGCACAAAGAAAATGAGATAGAAGTACACTCGTGAGTATACAGATTAAAGGGTAATCATTATTATTATTTGATGAATCGACTAGGTAAAAATCAAATGCTTATCCACAGACATTTTCAAGTTCCTAGATGAATATGCAATAGATCTTCCACAGAAAAGGAGATACAAAAGAGATAATTATCATACAATATGGAAAGGTGGAGGTGTTACGTACAAGGATGTCAGGTGGAGGGCAAAAACACATGGCAGAGAAAGATTCTTCTGGAGGAGATAACACATGGGTTGAGTCTTAAGGAACGAGTAGATGAATTAGGAAGATGAAGGGAAAGGACATTCTAAGACAGAGGAACAGAAATATTTAAGTCCAAGGGCAAAATAACAACAAAAGCTGGGTGCTGCAGTAATCACAACTGAGTAAAGACATACATTTTTACTGTAACAAAAAGTGGTGCTTTTATATTTAAACTATTTTTTTAACACTAAATTCTAATGGCAAACTTGGGAACATAGCCCTGAAGGCTAACAGATGCCAAAGACCACACATACCGACACATCCTCAGTACCATTGAAGGTAACTGTTACTTCTCTTTTTCCTTAGCTTTTTACTGTTCCATAGTCCATAATGCAAACATCCTCATCTTGCTTCTCTCTCACAAAGGACAACATTGGCCCTAGAAGAACAGCACTGAGAAAGAAGCTTCTTACTCATTCCAGAAAGCTGAACTTTAAAAATCACTGCCAGTTTCCTCATGAGATGTTCACTTACATTAACAGTGACTACGCTCTTCAAAGTGCTGAAAGATTGGGAAATGTAGAGCAACTTATAATGCAGACGCTAATTTCTGTTTTGCTTTTCTTCTTGTTTAACAAGACTGCAAACACTGCAAAGAGGTCATGACCCAGGCAAGTTCGGGTCTTGACTTGTAAAGCGTCATCTTTAAGAAAACACTGAAAAACATTACCAAATGATTAAACTGTGCCGGGCCATTTTGTGTATTAATTAGTGGTACTGCTTGTAAGGAAGCTTTATCATGAAAAACAGCTCCGAATGTATTCATGTGATAAATCACATGGGATTCATCTGAAGGGAAAAGCTGCCAGCAGCCTGAGATGGGGATGCAGCCTTAAAAATAAAAGTGGTGCTCAACCCAAGAGGGGTTGCTAATGTGTGGCTACCAGTTTTAATGTCCACAGAGCCCAAACATGCCTCTTGACCAAACGCAGAGCGATAACCTATTTTGGAAAAAAGAAACTGCTCCCAGCACACTCTTTACTGAGATTTGCTAGTCCTGATGGTATAAAGAAAAAGCCTAAGTAAAATGACTATCTGCCAATCGGATTATGATAAACATTGTTCCAAGGTTAAATAAGTATTAGTTAACTAATTCTCAGTACCATAAGCAGCAACTCAGGTGAAAATATTTCCATGAAAAAGGCAGGGCTCAGTCAGGTGTTGATCCTTCAAAAAAACACTTCTTTACATGATGAAGAATGAGCGAGTACTAAGCAGCATCTAAGCCTTTTGCCACACAAAGGACCAACCAGATAATCCACACCCTTTCACAGGTCTTGCCCATTGATTGGCCCCAATAAACTGATTTGTAAC